TGTATTTTACCAATCCCCGATTACGAAAGTTAAAGTGAGTGAAATGAGTGCCTGAATTAATGCTAATGCTCTAATCCTAGGTAAATTTGTCGCTCCACAAGCGCTTCAATGGCTATAGGCCGTTCTTGTACAATGTCACAGTGGATGCCTGCAGATTCCTCAGGAATCCGCGATCGAACCCAATTCTCAATTTTTTCTATGGTTTTATTACTCCGTATATAGGCAAAGTTTCGTGCCCCTTCAAGGTTAGTTCTAGCTTCCTACAATCCATTAACAAACGATACTGACAGGCTTTTTGGTTTGCTTCCAGAACAGCTTGTCCTACGATAAGATAGCTGCCGAATGGATAAATAAGCAAGTTACCGCAGTTCTGCCATTTCCGGAAGGGGACTATATGATAGAAGTGAATTGGATGGCCTACGACATCAATCGAGCTATAACCAAATTTTATGCCACTCTTTCTTGACCATTCATTTGTTGTGGTGCCTGAACGAAGGTGTGCAATGTGTCTCAGGCCGGTATGCATCTGCATCTATGAATGTTTGATGGATCAGATTCAACTGGAAATTCAATGTATACTCAACTCTGAATCCAATATAGAAAAAGCCTCGTAGCTGAAGCATAAAGTTAAAGCAACCTGAACAAATTAGCGTGAAGATGAATCGATTGGGAATATAATTGGGCCGAAGCTCGTTGGGTACTCCAATTCGCAGTTCCCCTCGAGCCTTTGGATCGCAAAATTGGTGTTGCCGTGCTACTCATTGTGGTCTCATAAGCAGAGAGATCTAAAATCGAAAATATCCTGGAGCAGGTCCTTCGATAAAGCATTTGACGACTTCGAGTACTGCTTTCTGAAGTCGCTGAATCGGAAATGTAAACTGTACCAAACGCCAGTTAGGAAAGCTAATGTGACTGTAACACCGAAGGAGTTCTGTTCTCTTCCTTGTGGGTGTGGTACGCTCTACAAGCGATTCAGTGGCTACGGCGGATGCCTGCAGATTCCTCAAGATTCCTCAGTCCTTAACTTCTTTTGTGCCCTATACAAATACGAACCATCGATGTCCCCACGAGGTAAGTTCAGGCTAATAGTGTTAAAGCTGTCCGTATACCAAGTGTATTTACGCTGGCAGCATGATGTATTCATGGAAAAAGTACCTACCCAGTCGATAAATGGCCAATTTGGGGATGGGGATTATTTGATAGAATTCAACTGGATTGCCAACCAAATTATATTTCACTCTCTCTTGAGAGATTATTATTATTATTATTATTAAATAAATCCTTAGCCAATTAGTGGTCGCCTGCAACCGCCGCTGCAGCCGCTGGATCCTCATCCTCGTCGTCCAGCTGCTCGCAGTCGATGTCGCTGCACTCGGACTCCGATTGGGTGGACTGTGCCTGTGCCAGTGCCTCGTGGCCATAGCCTGTGGCACCTCCGGCGGCTGGCAGGCTGCGGTGTTGCAGAAAGTTGGCACTGGCATTGGCATCCCCAAAGACGCGCTCCAACTCGGCCAGGCCGTTCGTGGTGCTGGATTCCGCTTCTGGTGGCAGAGTGGCGTACTTCAGCTGCAGATAGCCATCGCTCTGGGCATGTGGCGGGGCGTAGTAGCCACCCACATAGGACTTGCAGCGCGGCACATAGCCAGCGCCACCGCCAGCGCCAGCGCCAGCGGCGACTGTCCCCGCCGGCGACTTGGACACACCGAAGGGCAGGGCAAAGTTGAGGGGCTGTCCACGGGATAGGATCGCATTGCGAGCGCTCTCCATGACACTGGGTCCCGGCAGTGGTGGCATGCCGCCGCCGGGCGCATACGGACGCATTGTCGGGCTGTGGGCTGTGGCCGCCGCCGCCGCTGATGGCATGGGAGGAGCGGATCCACTGCCGTTCAGCATGATGGACTGGATGGGTGTGGGGCCGGCGGGCGTTTGGCTGAACAGCCACAGGCGATCGCCCACCACCATGGGGCGGGCCAGTCCCCCGATGCCCAGCTGAGCATAGTAGTGGGACGCGAGGGTCTCCACATCCGACGTGTACTTGCGCTTCCACTTGGTGCGTCGATTCTGGAACCAGATCTTGATCTGCACCGAGCGGAGGTGTGGAGTTAGTATGGGGCAGAGTCTGCGATTGAGTCGTGTCCTCACCTGCGTCTCCGTCAGCTCCAGCTGCTTGGCCAGCGCCGTTCTCTTGGCCACCGACAGATACTTGCCCCGCTCGAATTCCGTTTCCAGGGCCTTGATCTGTGCCGCCGAGAAGGCCGTGCGCGGACGCTTCTTGCGATCATCGCCGTTCATCGCTGCAAGCGTGGGGAATTAATTGTGAAATTATTTTGCCACTAATTCACACTCATTGCTACCGACAGGGGCCACAACCGATGCCAACTATTTGCTACTAATTGTAATTAGTCGATCCGTTTACCAAGGCTGTCCCCCCAGTTCCCCCAGTCCCTCTGTTCCTCTGAATCTTCTCAATCAGAATGCTGCATCTCATTCAGGCATCGCTTCTAATTGGCCACTTGGCGTGGCATTCGCTTGGCTTGACCGAAAACAAATTGTCACATCAATTCCTTCTCTACGGGTGGACTAGCTTTTCCGCCTTCAACTTTTTCCCTCCGATTTTCTTAACTCTGTGACAATGGCATCATTAGCTGCGTGGCGGTTTTTCAGTCACACCCTGCAGCTAATTTTTGATCATTTGTTTCTTGAGCGCACAGCGGACAGATGAGATCACTCAGCAGCTATGGCGACGGCAGGAACCCCAAGTGTATCGCTATGAAAATGTGAGCTATATAAATGAGACGAGGGCACTCTTTGGGGTCAAACTTCTCAGTGTTTATGGGAGGCAGAGGATAAGATAAGAAGAAGGTAAGTTTTGGTGACATTTGCCACTTGAGGACTTGAGGACTTGAAGACTGAGGAAATGCCTTGCAGCTAAACCAAATCCCTAGTCTCTGCCAGCAACAGTTTTGCGTGCCGTCTGCCACTTGCTTTCATACGCACCGTTGCCATCATCTGAGGCCATGTCAATATCACTTTTGGCATCGTCCAGCGCATCCTCCATGCAGCTGGACGTGGCCGGACTGGACACGCGCGACACATCACAAATGCCACTGCCACTGCCACTGCCACTGTCATCCTGGGAGGCGGCTTGCAGCTCAAAGTTGCTCGAGGGCTTGGCCAAAATCTGATCGATGGAGAAACTGTGCGGAAAGCGACGTGCCGCCGATTGGGAGTTCATATTTGAAACGAACAGCGCGCGTCGAGTGTGTGCGGAAAACTAATTTGAATATTTCGAAGCATCCTGCGCACGACGATCGAGAGTGCCGCCTGGCTGGGGGCGTGGCATACTCTCAGCCATCCTCTCCGTCTCACTCTCGCCCTAGCCGTGTGTGGCTGCCCGAAGGAGCGAGAGCAACAGCCATAGCCACACATGTGATGTGTGGATTTATTTTTAAAACATGTGTCCGCAATCGTATTGGGTTTTGGGCGTGTCTTTCCCCTATACTTTCGGATCTTCTTGGCTTGCCTTTTTCTTGCTCGCTGCTATGATTAAGAGCCATAATTTTTGGCTAATTGTCTACAAGTAGCGGCATTTAATATTTCGATGGCATTTCTCACTGTCGCTGATTAATTTGATTTGCAGACACGTGTGGCCGCTCGCTGGGAATATTTGTAAGTTATTTGAATCGATTTCCATGCCAGTCTATGGGCAGTCTAAAACGTTCATTAATTCCAAATTATCAGCACACATTATTCAGAGCAGTTTCGAATCTTCAGTGGCTCCTCGGCAATGGCTGTAGTTCCCAGTTGGCCAGGAGCCAGCTGCACGCCGCTTACTGCAGGGTGCCGGTGGCGGTGGCGGTGCCTGGTTGGCGTTGTGATAACGTCTTCATTATTCACGCACGATTTGAGCAAAATATGTGAAAACACGTTAATTAGTAGCCAGAGAGTGAGAGAGAGAGAGCCAGAGGCAGCGGCAAATCTCTGGCAAGGCATCCATTTAGCAGGGCTGTGCTGTCATTTTGATTTAATTTAATGAGAACACTCGACGTCTGTGCCCCTGCCCGCGGAATGGTGCTGGGTGCATGATGGCAGGGACAGGCAATGGCTATGGGAACGCATGCCATGCCCGAGTGTCGCGAGCATTCAGATCAAAATGACAACTTAATTTTCATAATTGCGCTTAATGAATATTCGACTATTGCTTGCCATATTTCAAATTCCGCTGCCATCCGCGGGGAGTGTGTGTGTTTTGGCTGCCTTGTGGCATCTCTTTCGAATCAATTAACAATTTGTTGGCCCTTTGGCCAGTTGTGGCATGGCATTCCCCGATCCCTAGACCCACTCCTTGGCGCTTTTGGTGGTTCCCATCTGATGGTCTCGCATTTAACATTAAATGGAGCACAACCGTGTCAGAATTGAATTAATAACCGCGCATGCATCTCCATTATAAATCATCACTTCTCGAGTGTTTGTCAGTCGCACGCAGCATAAATCACAGTCCAACTCGAAGACGGAGCACCCCAGTCCCAGTCAGAGTCCCAGTCGCGTGGTGCAGTCTGTCCATACACTTTTTTGTCATCGCACTCCGCTAATGATGCACTCAGATGGGTGTCGGGCATCCACAGCCACATCGATCTTCGGTTTAAACATCTGTGGCAAGTTCGAGTTTCCTGACACTCCCACGCCATTCTTGGTTTCCGATTACGCTGTCAAAGGTGAACATTGGACCTTCCCTTACTCTCCACTCTCCGGTGGAGGGGCGTGCATTGAACTCTTTGTGGAAATTGTAGCCTGATTAATTTGTGGGGCTGTCTGTTTGTTTGCCACAATTTTGCCCAATTTGTGTGACAAACTAATGGGGCAGGGCAGGGACACTACAGAAAAAAGGGTGTCTGAAAAGGGTGTACAAAATGTGTTGGACGATTTTTCAAGCAATTTGATTCCAGGAATAGCCAGCCAGCAAGCAGCCTTGGCCAAATATTTCATTCCACTTTAGTTAGTGTTTTATTCTTTTCTTTAGTCGCAAACGGTAGAGACTAAACACAAATTTTATTTGCCATTTATGTTACATTTCGCCATGAATCAAATTATTGCGGTGGTGTTTGTGGGCCTCGGCTGCCTTTTTAGCGTAAGTTGCTGACTTTGCCAGGCTTTGACTCTGGCTGACTTTTGCTTTTGCAGGTGCTGCCTGTGCCTGCCATTCCACTGCCCGACAAGCATAGCTCCATCACAGCTCCAGGGATGGGCCTGTTTCCGGCTGCGTATCAGAGCAAACTCCGCACAGGGGCAAAGCCAGAAGCAGCAGCAGCGCTCGCTGGTCGTCCGCTGACCAAGGCTGGCCTCAACTTCCTGGCCAAGCCCAAAGCTAAGCCAAAAGCTGATGAAGTCACAGCAGCAGAAGCGGCGCCAAAAATATCCGCCAGAGCAGGCGGTGGGCAGGTGCGTGGCAAGAGTCTGGAGAGAACGATATCCGTGCCCCGAATGCAGAGCGATCATATGGGCAATTGGGTGTTCAATCCGTGGGGCGTCACCTTCGGCGTGCTGTGGCAGGACACGCGAATGCATTACCAAGTGCAGAACAGCATGACAGAGATTCTGGAGGATACGCCACACGGCGGCCACTACAATCTCAATTACAACTTTAAGCAGACGAAAGTGTGCAGGGGCAAGTCGACGATTTACAACAGGCCGCGGGTGTACCAGTGGCTGCAGCGGCGCATCGTGCAGGAGACTACGCCCAACTTCGATGTGTTCAGCAAGTACAGGCCCATCTGGTTGGATCTGCGCCGCGAGCTCTACACGATGGGCAGATCGGAGTCCTGCCACATATCGGCAATGGACGACTGGCTGCTGTACAACAACTGCGCCATATTGCGGAATATGCGAATGGAGTACATCATACCCAAGTATCCGTTGCATCAGATCGCCTATTGGCATACTCACTATAGGAAAGAGCTGACTTATAGATTGTGAATCCTAGCGGCAGATTTCAAACTGAATATCAAAATCATTAAAAAGTCAATCAATGCTACATGTGTGTGTGCGGTAATCTAACGGAATTCTTGCTGGGGTGTGCATCGGTCATTCTGCACTAATGGGTTAGAGCGGGACAACTATTGAGTGCAAAAAACATGCGTGCCGTGCAAGCTCATTCCTGATCTGCTCTCTCTCTCTCTCTCTCTTTGCTCCATTCACGCTCTTGCAAGTGAATGCAAATAGAGCAAAAGCAAAAGCACGAGAGGTGAGAGAGGATCAAAAGCTTCTGCTTCTGTTCTCTCTCAACAAAAACCAAGCCTGTCATTCGATTGTCGTCTACTTTTCGTTGCCTTTACATTGCAAACTAGTTCAAACTGTGACACAATACAATAACAGCATATTTACTTTAATCATTAAAAACACTAAACACTAAACACAACAACACAACAACACAACGGCAATGATGAAGAAAAATTATCTGGTGTTTGTTGGCATCGGCTGGCTAATTAGCGTAAGCTTTTGCCACATTCCAAACGCAATTTGCTGTCCAAAGAATCAAGTTTTCCGTTACAGGTGATGCTTGCCATGCCGCCGCCTCAACTGAGTTTTAAGGATCCAAACAGAGGATTCCATAATATCAGCCAAAGGGTCGTACTGGAGGCACACCAACGCACCCGCTCGTGGCTTTCCAGCGCCATCGAACTGGAAACGCGATCAACAAAGTCCCCGCGCACGGGCAAAGGAACGACAAAAGCTCAGCTTCCATCTGCGCTCAATGTCTCTGGACATGATGTGCTGCCAAATAACAGCAGCAGCGAGCCTGACGATGGGCTTATTCGTCTGTTTCCCCAAGCCTTGCCAGCAGCCAGCAGCACAAAGTTGCCCGGACGCCTGGCCATCACAGCACACAGCTTGAGGGCCAGGCCAAAAAATGATGGCCTTACGATACGTTACAGGGCAGCTACAGTCGCCACGCCACCCACCACCGAAGCAGTTCAGAGCCTTAACGGCAATGGAGAGCAGCAAACAACAGACAGTTGGCCTCTGAATCCTTGGGGCGGTGTCAACTTCATGCAACCGCCTGTGAGCCGGAAAAAGGGGAAAAGATCCAGAACGGATCCTGGTACGTTCAGGCCCAGTAAAACCAGGTCCTATTACACGACCATCTACTGGTGGTATCCCGTGCTTACCGATAACCCAAAATGGAGGTACATACCAGATCGTGTCGGCGTCACCAAGGTGTGCCGCGGCAAGTCCACCGTCTACAATGTGCCCGTCGTATACAACTGGCTGACGGTACGACTTCGCAACAAAACGATGTACGCCCGGCCCGTCTTTATGCCACTCAGAAAGGAGCTCTTTGACTTTGGCCTCTCGGAGATGTGCCACACGAACGATACGCGCGAGTGGTCCGACTACATCAATTGTGCCATCATACGGAACATGAGGATGGAGTACATGATACCCAAGTATCCGCTGCATCAGGTTGCCTACTTTTATCCCACGTGGCATGGCAGCACCGCTCATCCACAGGGACATTTTTCTACGCACGGACCTGGCTGGGGTGGCGGCAAATAAATAAATATGCCAATTGTGAACAATAAATGTGTGTAAATATAAGAAAATACATGTAAGAAATCGTTACTCAGTGTAGCTTCTTCAGCTTGCCCCAGCCAACTAATGCCCGCATTTAATTTCATTCATAAAAAAAAGAGTTCCCCAAGTGTGGGATGACAGATATAAATATTAATTAAGGAAAGCAAAAAATAAGAGAGGGAGAGAGAGAGAGAGAATGCTGCCTGTGAGTACGAGCATTATTAATTTAATGTGCGCTCGTTTCGAATTTGGTTCCCGATTCTCGGTTCCCATTTCCCCGGCTGGTTGCCCGTTGTTCCAAGAAACATGTTTGGGGCGGAGTGCGTGGAGTTGAAGGCGTCACTCCGTCATTCCGTGTCGTGTTTATGCTCGCAGAGAGCAGACAAGACTCATAAATTACAACCAATTATCAAATTAGATTTGTACAAAACATGCAGTTTAAATCATATAAAAGTGATCTCTTCTTTTTTTCTTTTCTCTTTCTTTTTTTTTTAACGACACAATCGAGCAGAGGGAGCTTCCCGCTCGGATTTCGTGGGTTTTTTCTTTTTGCTTTTTTATGGCCAAAAGTAGAATCGATTTGGTTGCCTGTTGCCGACAACTTTCCACGCGGCATTGCAATCGAACAAAAATTAGCAGACAATGTGAGCCCTGACGGGCGGCGGGCAATTAATTTGATGCAATTACTCAGGCCTTGCCGTGGATCTCCACGCAACTGACAGATACTCTAGAGTAGAGAGTGCCGCACTGTGGTGTGCCTGATGTTGCCACCTCAACGCATCGATGGCCCTGGGATCTGTGATGCACAGAGTTGAAAAGTTTTCTCTTCATTTTCCACAAACCATTGTGGACGGGCGCTGGCATTTTAATGAGCCAAACGCACTCACCCCTCGTCACGAGTGGCGGCAAATTGGCCCACTGAAACGGGCTGTAAAAGATCGGGGAGTGTGTAGTGTGGGGAGCACTGCCATACGATCCTCCATGCTACTCTAGAGAGTCTACTAATTGACATCGGCAATGGCTGCTGCTGCTGCTGCTGCTGCTGCTGCTGCTGCTGCAGCAACTTGTACGCTTGTTGTCTGTGTGTTTTGTCTGTGATATCAAACAGTTTCACGCACAAATTGAACCTGATAATTGTCCCTGGCAGATTTATGGCCCCAACTGATGAGCATATGTTTTAATTAATTCCCAAGAAAGTGTTCCTTTGCCGCTCCTTTTGCGGATAGTCCACTGCGCCTGCGCCTGCGCCTGATCGATCGCTGTCCCTTGGCTATTCCTTGCTTTGACGCCTTCCTACTTATCTAATTATGACAAATGTCTAACCCCCTAATGCCACAAAAGAATCCATAGCCCAAACGTTGCCCCGCTCCTACCCCTCCTCCATGCTCCATCATTGTGGCTGTGGCTGTGGCTGTGGCCACATCTGCGTGACATTTTGTGTTGTTGTCTTGTTTTTGGTGCGGCTCGCGACAGTCCCCGCCGCCGCCATCCGAGGGAGATTAATGCGGTGAGGAAAATCATAAATTAATTAGAAGTCTCCCCGCTCCCCGCTCCCCGCACCCCTCTCCGTCCGTCTGCTGCACTGAACTGGAGTCTGCCGCGAGTTGCAGATGCTCATCGGTGACACTTAGCGGGCGATTTATTGTCATTAGAGGGATGGATGTGCTGCGATGCTGAAGTTTCCTCAAACCACATACAGGTGTTGTCACAGCATCGCTTAATTAGCCTTTATTATTAGCTACGATGTGGCAACTAAATGGTCAAATGTCGGAGAAACAGTCGCAGTCGCAGTCGCAGTCGCAGCCACAAGGCGAATCCAAGCCGATGCCCTGCGCCCCATTCCTATGCGTAGTTTTCCCCGACTTCCTGTTGGAAAGTTGGCGCCTAATGCCGTCGTTTAGGGACAATTAGCGACACGCCCTTTGGCGCCAGCGCCAGCTAGGAATGCTGACTAGTTTTTAGGGGGCAGGGCAGGTCTTGGGAATTCCAGTCTGTCGTCAGTGTGTCGCGACTTCAACATCCTGCCTTAAGGGCTGGGAATATTCCCAAAAAATGTAGATTATAATTGTTGCATATCCTTCGACAAGGATTTCCCACTCGGTTGCTGCCTGTCACTCCCAGCTTCAAGTGAAAATATCACAAAGAGGCCTCAAATCAAATGACCTGAATATTTTTCATGTTCAAAATAAAGGCATGTAAGCGCGGAAATAGTTCTGCTTATCGCACAAAAATATCCATAAATCGATATGCATATATTAAATATCGTGACAGTTCATAGTGATGCCTGACTGTTGGAAAAATGTACCAATTTCGATACATCGGCTGGACACTCGATTGTTGCCTGAGCTGCACTTCCGCAACTTCAGCAACATTCTGCATACCTTGGGAAAACCATTAATTAACATTAGATAAAGATTAACCAGATACACAATATTTTAAATAATCAGAATACTTAACATTAAAATAACATAATAGCAGCACTTAAACAGGGCCTTTCTCAGAGATTATCATAGGGGTAATGTAAGCTGATGGTATTTAGAAATTCTTAAGCAGAAAACTGTTAACTCTAAACTGTGTCCGGCCTCCCTCCAACCAGCTGTCTTTCTTCCACTCTCTCGCGTAATACCCACCCAAATATTCCAAAATATTGCTTCCATTCTCGAAATATGCCGTAAATTATTAAATTTAAATTTATTTCGATATTAAAATATACTGAAAGGTATACAAAATATCTACGTTTGATATTGTCGGCGACAAAAATATCGCACCGATATTATCGTATCAAAAATAAAAATATCATCCATATCGATATATCGATTTAATATCAACAATCCTACTCGTCGCCAAACAACAACAAACCAAATTTCCAGCAAACCGCGGCGAACGCCGAACTTTTTTCTGCATTTTCACACGAAAAACGCGCGCTTGGCTTGGCGTCTTTAGTTAAAAGCCAACGGAATAATAGTTGGTGTTCGCTGCAAGATTGAATTAAATTAGTGCAGAGCGACGGTAATTAATTTGCATTCATTCCAATAACCAACATTTTATCGCAAGAGAAGCGGAGAAGAAGAAGCAGAGGCCCAAAGCCAAAGAAGTTGACATTGAAGTCGGAGCGCGTGTGGGGCTTGTGTGCGTTCGCGAGTGTGTTGGTGTGTGCGAAATTCTTTTGTGCTATATTCAATCTGCAAAAAGTCAAAGGTGTGAAATAAAAGTTGCAAAACAAATTGAAAAGCGAAAACCAAGTGCATGCGCCGAACACTAGACGGGTAGCTGCTTCGTGCCAATTCGATGCTTTGTTAAAAATCAATAAAATGCTGTAATTGTTGCTGTCGCAATTTCCGTCAACAAGCCGGAGGGGGGTCACTCTCTTTCCTTCATACACACATATATCTCTCGCGCAGTGTTCTCTCTCTATCTCTCTCGTCGCTCGCCTTATCGTGTTTGGCTTGTAGTTTTTATCGTGTCCCCCATTGGAGTGACTTTTAATAATACAATTTATCGCCTCTTTTCGGTTCACGCAAAGAAGAAAGGGAACAATTTCCAGCTTAAAGAGAGAGAACGGTAAGCAATTAAACAAATTAATAAAATGGCCGTTTGGCAACTGTTTTTTTTCGGTTACGCTTGTTGCACACACACCCCCACACACAAGGCAGACACGGAAGTTTTTGTTTCTTTTCTTTTTTCTTTTGACAAGTTCAATAATCGAAAGTGCCTATTGTCATCCCTGTCCCACACGCGTATATATGCTAATGAAGAACGGTTCAATGCACCGCTCGCTGAGATTTTGAGTTGTTGCTCCCTCTGGCTGATTTGATCTGATGTTCTGTCGCATTTCCTCAAACGATACTGCAGCGGCTGCTGCGTCAGCTGTGCTCGGTTACCGTTAAACCCGTTTCTGACTGAAAATGCCAATTGTATTATTTTGTGTTGCTATCGAACGCAAGCGGTAATTTACCTTTTTTGGCCGTCCAGCAATTTGTTTGGCTCGCAAGCATCGAATTTGTTGCAATTAAAAATTGATTTTCCGTTTGCAGCCGCAATCAAATTGTCAGAAACTGCAACTACAAGCAATTTTCCGTATCTACAAAGACAAAACAAACAAAAAACTAAAATACAAACTCAGTCAAGGCATTGTCTTGTTTCATTTTTTTCGTGTTTTGCTTTTGCTTGTACCATTCGCTTGCTTGCCACGCTTTGCGGCAGGCAGGCCATTGTCGTTGTTGTTGCTGCCTTCCACATCATGTTGCAATGGGCATGGCTAATTTTCGGTTTAACAAAAGTTAAGTACACCGCTCTTTGAGCTTTGGTCGTCGACGTTGTTAACGAAACGGTGTTCGCTTTGTCCCCCGCCCTGCCTTCCTCTACTCTTTCTCAGATAGCAATTGACAGCCGTGCTTCTTCTTCCCCACTTCGTTTGGAGGTTTTTTTTCCTATCGTGTGTCCGGGCATCATTCGCTCTGGCTGGCGCTAGGCAATTGCGAATAAGAAACAAAACAAAATTGGAAACAGATGAGAGTGTAGTAATTGCCAATACTCATTGATGCAACGAGATGTTCATCATTTTCAATTGCTTTTACAGTTAAACAATCCGTATATTTGTTGTACTATTTCTTCCACATTTAATAAATGAAAAAAAAAATAATAAAAAGTGTTCCTTCTCATACCGGGAATCGAACACGGGCCGCTCGGATGAAAGCCAGTTAGGCAACCACTGGACCACGGTTTTTTTTTGCTGCTAATGCACTTCAATTAAATCAATTATCCAATTCACTATCTAAACTTGCAACACGGTGAGAGAGAGGCTTCAATTGGAAGCCGAAAATCCGACAAAAGCTCCACTTATTGACCTCCACCAAAAGGCTGCAGACTGTAAAGCACGAAGCCTGGGTTCAAGTGGGTTTTTAATGAGCAATCCCAGCTATGGGTATGATCCGGCTCAATGAACCACCGGCCACCGCGTACCCCTCCCTCAACGCCAGCTGCAGCTGCAACTCAATTTTCCAAACTCGAAACTCGATGGAAAAGGAAAAGAGGCAGCACAAAAAATGCAGCTAATTCATCAAAAGTGTGGCAAAGCCGGGACTGCCAACAGTGAGCCATTGTTGTTGCCCAACACGCCTACTTTTCGCTAGTGTCCGCCCCATTAGTTGCATGCTGCTAGCTGACTGCTGTCTGCCACTTTCGAAGCCAATTGAAAAACTCATGTTGCCTTTTTATATGCCATCATCATCGACAACAACATCCAACATCATCCGCGTACAGTATCTGTATCTCGGTATCCCAGACATTAGAAGCGCGTGTGAGACGTACGATTGAGCCAGAAGCGGATAAAAAGGCAAAAGCGTACAAATTACCATTTTTTATATATAGTTTGTTTTTTTCATCAAAGAAAGCCAAGCCCCGGTCGGTTCGATGGCGGTGGCGGCGTGAGAGAAGCAGCAAGAAGACGCTAAACTTTTTTCTTCGTTTTTGTGAAACGCTAAAAGTAACGCCAACGCTCACTGAGCTTTATGGCTTACCCTGTGCTAGGGTACTCAGATTATCATACTGCATAACGAGATATTAAAGTTTCAGTGAAGTTTTAGAGTTAATTAAACATTCATTTCCAGTTCCTTATATTATGAGCCATTTAAATACTTGAAATGCTTGCAAAATTCTTTTCCAGGGTATACATAATTCGTTGGCAATGTTGGCTTCCTGCCTTTTGTTCGTTAAAAACCAGTTGAGCAACAAGAACAAAAGGCAGCAGCTGTTGCTCTTCCCTCACTCCATCTCGCACTCCACCGCACTCCTCTCTGCTCTGCTACGTTGACTGCATATTAAGCTCTGCCCGCACGGCTGTTGCGCCTGCGCCGACCGCATTGCTTACTGTATGCCTGTGTCTGCGTATGTGTTCCTGTGTCTGTGTGCTTTCTAAGCTCTGTTTGTTTTGTATGAGAGCGCAGGGCACGGTTTGTGCTCCCATCATTTGGATTTTTGCAAAGGGAGACAGGCAGCTGCTAATGCTAAATGGAATTGTCGGGGCCTTTGCTGACTGACTGATAAAATGGGTTGAACCGAAACACCCATGAACCTTTGTAATATCTTTTTGGACTTTTAAGTGCGCTTTTGTCTGTCTTGCGTAGTCGTCTGTCTATCGCCACCATAAAGGCAATTAACATGCAAACTTTAACGGCAGACAATCAATCCATTAAAAATGCCTCACGCACTCCCCATTTCTTTGTCTGTGACTCTCTGCTGGACTCTGTGACTCCTCTATCCATTTAACTAGGGGTCTCTGGCTCTGGCTCTGGCTCTGTCTCTGTTTGTTGTCATTGTCTCGCTGTCGTGAGGTGCAGCAGCAGCAGCAACAGTTTGGGTAGGAAAACGTGTAAATTTCGTTTGACAGTTTGACAGAAGCAGAAGAAAAAGCGAAAATAAATAAGCTGCAAAGCAAAGCTAATGCCCCCAAGTAGTACTCCTAGTCGTAGTTTCACCTCATCCATCGCCCATTTAGCATGACAATCAGACGATGGCAGACAGTGGAGCCAGGGGACTGGGGAACGGGGGACTAGGGGGAACATTAATACGCGCAGGTCATGCATGGCCTGCAGTTGGAATCGGCGTGCCACACCTCTTTGGGCTTTGTTGCAAAAACTATTTTCACTCTTCATTTTCACGTTCGTGGAAATGCGCACATGGAGATACGCCCCATCCCGCACCAAACTTAAAAATCAACAACAAAAAGAAGGGCATTGACACACATTTTTCGGCGTGTCTTTGGTGCTTTGCGTGCCCCAGGTCCGAGGCCAGATATTGGTCAAGACACGACCAAGCGACGCACATGTATTTATGTAGATAAATCTCTTCCCAAAGATGAGGGAGAGGCTAACAGAAAGAAAGTGTTCGAAAAGCGATACTGGGGCTGCCGGGGATGCTGATGCAGGCCAGGTAGACGCATGTCCAATAAATAAATTGAAATATTTACGCTTTGAGACGAAAGAATCGAAAGAAAAGACCAATGCCGCGAAAGAGGTTCGTTGGAGCCGTGCGCCGGGGGAGCGACACGAACCGGTCTCAAGTCGGGTCTGGCCTGCATCCCTATAATCGCTTCATTCGGCGCAGCGCTCAGCTCTGGGCTGCAGCTGAGCTCTGCAGCTGTGACCCACTCCCAGTTGTCCAACCCGAACGACCAACCCGACCGACCGCCCGTACGTACATATCTGCGCACATTTATCGCGTCTGCCGTGTGGTTGTCGGCGGTTGGTGGCGGGGGACTAATGCCAAAAATATAAAAATTTCACCTCCGGTCACACGCTTGAGAAGAGAAGTCACACTCCGCCTCAAACAACAACAAGACAGACGGACGACAGCCAGCCTGGCAGGCGAAACGAAAACGCGATGGGGATGTTAATGGAGATGGGGTGGAGGCAATAGTTAATTAAAGAAAAACTGCGCCCATGGCAAATGAGAAAATTGATTGCTTGCCAGGGAAATGGAAAGCCCAAAAAGCATTGCCTGCAAGTAATGCAAAATAATTGAAATACCACTAGGAACGCAAAGGAGACCGACCCTGAAGCTGGAGCTTTGGATTGCAGATTTATGGGATCTATTTCAGCTGCAGCTATTTGTGTGATTATCTAGATATTGTTAGATAGCTGCGATTGTGGATTCCACGCTTTAGCATTTCTCAAGTGAAACGAAATTTCAAACGTATTTTGTGGTCGTTGTTGCATTTCCTTTTTGGGCCTAATGCGATGAGACGCAGCAACGTTGCGTTGATTAACCGCACATTTTGCAGTGCTTTCCGCTAATCTGCAACTCCTCCTCCGCTCCGCCGATGCTCCATTTTCAGAGGAACGCCGAAACGAGTATGCCTGGCTGCTGACTGTGACTGCCTGCCTGCCTGCTGCTCCATGAAGATAAATGATTGAATGTCCGGATGCACTTGAAGCGCACATCAGCAACAAAATTGTTGGCTGTCAGCAGCAGCGGCATTGAAAATGTGTGGCATTCAAATGGGGCGGCCGGGGTAAGCAAAACTCTACTCTTTTGGCTAACTGTTTATGGGTGAATCAATCATTGAACCGGTTCCCCCACCTAATGAGCGGCACTTGTTGCTCCATGGCCTAATCATATTTTACACCGTATCCATCTTCATCTACAAGTTACAGAGTTAATGTTTTATCTCTCTCTCTCTCTCCCTCTCTCTCTCTCTGTCTCCCACAGAGTCCATGGTTATCGCTTACACGTGTCTCTTGGGGGGGATCAAACATAATTTATTAATTGGGTCGAGAATCGGGGTAATGAACTTGTTTGTGGATTGATTAAATGGTTTAATTTAATGAAAAATGTCTGAGAAATTGGCTAAGGTTTGCCCCCAGACACAGCCAGCTATTTTTGTAGCAGTTTCCAAGCTTGAACCTTGAAATGATGTCATATACTACAAACATTTGTGCTTATGTAGCTCTTTTTTTTGTGCGGCTGCCGTGATGTTGTTCTTCCCTTGAAGTTCTCCAGAACTTGGCATTGCTACTTGATCGTTATCACACAACACCAAACCAGAGCACACCGATCGATGG